TTTCCTTGAAAGCATCCATGGGCAAACCTGGATCACATTCTTGAAAGACAATCATCCAGTGACCAGTTAAATAGGGGCTGAGAGGCTAAGGGAATTGGACCACAGGATGCCATGCTTCTAGAAGCATCTGCTTTAGCAACACCACCTAAACACTGGAAAAAAATTATCAAAAGGCAGTTTCACCTTTTGTAGACATCTTTTATGTGGGTAAAGCTCACATATTTCTTGAGACAAGGAGGCCCAATCTGTTTCCAAGACAAGGTGAACATTGAAGCTTTACTCTACCTTTGCAGAAAGAGCACCAGGAGACAATGTCATGCTCTCCACAGAGAGGAGAGGAAGGGCTGCAGAGCCCCTAGCACATGGAGTCAAACACAGAGAGCCATCCAGGGCATGGCTGTAAGCAGCAGAGCTAGCCAACCCCTTCCGACTGGCGGTGATAAGCAGACTCCTTCTGGGTATGCAGGGTGGCACCGATCAGTCTAAATGTGTCTCTGCTCATCCTCACAGAACAGTGAGGTGTGCCCTATTGTGTTCTGAGGGGCAAGAAATGGCCTTCCTTTTCCCTCATGAGTCTTTCTGAGTACCAAAGTGCTTTCCAGAGAGGAAAAGGAGATTAATGAAGACACCAGTGTCACAGATGCACATCTAAGGCCAGGGGCACCCACTGAGATTTCTATATTCTTGTGTCCAGTCAAGGCCAACAGACGGCACCAGGCACATGTGATCTATAATAGAAGTAGGGACTGTTTATTGAAAACAAGAGAGATGCACCTGAAATTGGGAATGGCTGGTGAGTTAAGGAAATGAGGGGGTCAAAGTGCCAGACCACATGTCCCAAGACCCTTCCTACGTCATTTACATGGCGCCCGTCTTCTATCCCATGTGTTAAGCAGGCTGTTTCATGCCGATTCCATGTAGTTCAAATGGTGAAGGGTTTTCAGCCCATTTTGTTATGTAGTCTTTTTTATATCCCCCTACTGCCGTGTGTGTGTGTGTGTGTGTGTGTGTGTGTGTGTGTGTGTGTCTGTGTCCATATCTCTACTCTCTGTCACACTAGGAATCGAAACAGAAAATGGGCCACCATCATCCACCTTGGTGTGCAAACTCTAGCAGAGCCTCTGGGTCAAGGGGACTGACAAGAATGAGCTTAAACAAGAGATAATGCATCCTCCAGAACACATGGCTTCCTTTGACCAAGACTGGGAAGTGCTTTTAATCACCACCTTCATCAAGGTTAGAACTCACAGAGATAGGATGCCTGGGCCTCTCTACACTAGCCCCCTCTGAATGCCTCTCCCAAGTCCTCTGTTTGCCGAAGCACACTGCTGCAATCACTGCGGATCCGCAGCCACCTGTTTCTGCATAGAGTGCTGGGAAGGACCCAAGACTTCACTTCCAAACAGCGAACGCAATCTCAAGATGGACATCCGTGCCCTCCCCGCCCCACCCTGCCTTTTCTATTCTCCAACAAAACCCTGTTTCCACGTTGGCATTCCTACAGGTACATATATATAGGTTTAGGCATCACTAGAAATGCTGGCACAGGGAAGGGTTTACCTGCAGGCTTGTGTTAGAGGTGCATGGACATAGATAATCTGATGAACCTTGGTTACATCTAACAATGTCAATGCCTGTGGCTACAAAAGCAAGCCAAGTTAAGACCAGGTAAGAACCCCAGGGCACTGGGGGTGTTGTCTACTCCCTTAATCCCAGCGCTGGAGAAGAAGCAAGAGGCGGGTCTCTGTGGTCTGAGGTCATGGTCTCTCTTCACAGCAATATATATTAATATAGTAAAGCCAACTACAGAGCAAGATTCTACCTCAAAAAGAAAGGAAGAGAGGAAGGGAGGGAAATAAAGACCAAAGAAAAGGGAAGACCAAAGAGAAAAAAAAGAGAGAGAGATGAAAGAGGGAAGGAGAGGAGAGAGAAGAGAAGTGGAGAGGGTTGTGGGGGGAGAGACAGTCAGACTTTGAAGTCACAACATCCAAATTCAAATCCTGGTCCTTCCATTTCTTAATTGCGCAACTTTCATTAAGTTAACGACAAGTTATCCTGTCTTACTTTTCCTCACTGCTGTCACAAGAACATCTAAGAAAAGCAACTTCAGGAAGGAAGGGGTTCTTTGGGTTCACAGTTCGAGGGACAGGCCGTCATGGCCAGGAAGTCACAGCAGCAGCGCTTGAGACAATGGGTCACATTTCGTCTGCAGTCAAGAAGAAAATGGTGAATGCTTGTGCTCACCTCGTGTTCGCCCCCTTATTCAGCTGGTGGGTCCCATCCCATGGGAGAGGATCACCCATTATAGGGTAGCTCTTCCCACCCCATTTAAAGCAGTTGAGACTACTCCTCACAGGTACACTAGAGGCTGTCTCCTGTGTGGTTCCTGTCAAGCTGATGATCAACACTGGCCATCACTCTCTGTACCCAGAACAATGGAAACATGTCCGAGCCACCAAAGTCCAGGCAACAACAGGATCACCTGGAGAGGATCCTCAGTAGATAGAAATACAGTGTCCACATAAAGAGGAAAACAAGGTCATTGAAACCAAACTGATCCCATTAAAACATCAGGAAAAGCAAAGCAAAGTGAAAAGTTGAAACTGGTAGGGGGAAAAATTCTGGGAATAGGTTTCAAAGTTCAGTGCACCCTTATTAACATTATTATTTATAACACAGGCGCAGTGACTAAGACATTTTGCCAACCAACCACAGACAATAATATGGTCTCTATTTTTACTTAACAACCAGGAAGAAATAAGCAAGCTTCCAAGGGGTCTGACTAAGATGCTTCATTTTGTTTTAAAGGAAACAAATTCATATTAATATGGCTGCAATCCACATGTTATTTGTGTCGACAGAGGATATTATCACACACAGTCCCCCAAACCTGGAGAAAATATCCAGGAGAAAAAGAAGGGACTTGATGACATTGTAAATTCCTTACCTTAAAACCTTAAAGAAAGAAGAAAGATTCCAAACCCAGTTAGAATGTCAATTTTAATTTTAAAAAAAAATTAGGAAGGCACCAGAAAAGTCAGGAAATATAGAAATAATGCATCATCTGCAAGAAATTGCTAGAAATATCAGGTGGTGATTTAAATAAGAATGCCCCCCATGGGTTCATATATTTGAATGTTTAAGAAGTGGCACTATTTGAAAGGATTAGGAGGCGTGGCCTGATTGGAGGAACTGTGTCACTAAAGATGGTCTTTGGGGTTTCAAAAGTGCAAGTCAGGCCCCAGGTCCCTCTCTTTCTGCTGCCTGTGGATTCAGATGTAGAATTCCAGCTACTTCTCCGGGACCACGTCATCCTGCACGCTGCCATGTTCCCCACCACGACGATAATGAACGGAACCTCTGAAACTGTAAGCCAGCCCCAGTTAAATAAATGTTTTCTTTCATAAGCATTGCCATAGTCATGGTATCTCTTCACAGCAATTAAACACAGACTAAGACACAGCAGTCAGACTATACTTGCAATATAACCCCAAGTTCAGGGGTAGAAGAGACCCAAGTTCAAAAGTACATCCGGTCATCAGTGCTCTCAACAAACAGCAGGAGGCTGTGGCCTTTCCCAGCTGTCCTATCTGGCACTGGAAAAGGGAGACACGGTCACCTCACTCGCTGCCCAGTGGATGCCACAAACACATCCATCCCCAGGTGACAGTGTTCACGGGGAGCACTTTGTTCAGACTGTCCAAAACTCTGGACTCTGAAGTCCTACCACTACTAAGTCAATTGCAGGGACTACTTTATATTATGACATGCTTGTGGCACAGTACAACGGTAGCATATATCAAAACAAATAAACCTTTACAAATATATACATAGTGAATCTACCACACGAAGAGCTAAACAAATTACGGGATAGAAGCAGATGTCTGCTTCATCAGCTGAATTAATCCCTGAAGAGAAATCCAGGAAAGCTTCTAGAATTAACTGGGAACTACTGAGCACCAAGAGAAAGCCATGCTGTGACGGAAGGACAGAAATGGTGTGGTCACAGATGCGGGACAGAGCACCACCATGTGAAATGAAAATGCAGCCAGCCACCAGTTGCTCCTGTGCGGTACGTCTCGCAGAGATGCCGAAACCACGTGACTTGGAGCAGAGAAAGGAAGGTTGTCCCCAGGCTATTTATGTGGACACACTCATGGTCACTGTCATGCAGACTCTGGATAGCATCCGACTGATTTTCCCTCATTTCTAACCAGAGATGAGGGGCTCGGTGCTAAGCCAGTATGGCAACTGATCCATAGCTGGCATGGTTGATGGGCATTAAAGAGACGGTTCTGGTAAGCCTTGCTTAGAAGAACATGGTTGGAAGTATGCAGGGAGACGCTACGAATGGACGCAGGGTGGGTTTGAACAACTGAAAACATACCAACTTTTTGGATGTCACATAACAATGACCAATGCTCTGAAAGGACATTGCTGTGTGACAATACTTTTCCTTGGAAGACACAGCACACACCTCAGCTAGGGAGCTCACAATAGGATCAAGTATGACCACCACTGATGTCCGGCGTGGTTAACCATTGAGGTTTGGGGGATCACTTACAGGGATATGGGTAATAAATGGTTATAGGAGCGGAAATGACTCAAAACAACTGCATCACCAAACCCAACAGCCCACAAAAGCTAGAGGCCTGGAGCTCACTGCTAAGACAGCTCAGCAGGTTGGAGAGGGTTCTTTCCAGGTGTTTCAGTCAATCTAAGCCTCTTCCAGGCAGCTCGGCTGGTTTCTGCTTGTTGTAGGCAGCTGGTCTGGTCCCAGGGAATTCTTTGCTGCTTGTCTTGTCTTAGGGTCTTCTTTGCAATTTGACTCATCTAAGGGTGTCTTTCAATAGTTGTCTCTGTGATGGAGGTGGGTCTTGTATCTTATCTGTTGATTTCATTGGTTAATAATAAAGAAACTGCCTCGGCCCTCATAGGACAGAAAATTAGGTAGGCGGAGTAGACAGAGGAGAATGCTGGGAAAAAGAAGCTTAGTGAAGGAGTCGCCATGATTCTCCCGCTCCAGACAGATGCAGGTTAAGATCCTCCCTGGTAAGCCAGCTCGTGGGCTACACAGAATATTAGAAATGGGTTAGAACAATATGTAAGAGCTAGCCAATAAGAAACTGGAACTAGCCAGGCCAGGCAGTGTTTGAAAGAATACAGTTTCCGTGTAATTATTTCGGGCATAAGCTAGCCATGCGGGCGGCCGGGTGCCAGGGACGCAGCCCCGCCGCTCCTATTTCAACATCTCTGTTTATACAGTCTTGGAACAGGAGAGTGAGCTGCCTAGTCTATGTCAACTTTACACAGGCTGTTTATCTGAATGGAGCGAACCTCAGGTAAGAAAATGCCTCCAGCTGTAATGCATTTTCTTGATTGATTGGGAAAGCGCAGCCCATTGTAGGCAGTGCCTTACCTGGGCTGGTGGTCCTGGGTTCTGCAGGAAAGCAGGCTGAACACACCCTGGGGAGCAACCCAGCAAGCCAGACGTGCTAGAGGCCCCTCTATGGTATCTGCATCAGCTTCTGTTCCCAGATACCCGCCCTGTTTGAGTTCCTGTCCTGACTTCCTTTGAAGATGAAGAGCAATGTGGAAGTGTAAGCCAAATAAACCCTTTTCTCCACAACTTGCTTTTCGGTCATGGTGTTTCAATGCAGCAATAGAAAACCTAAGACAGAGGGACTTCGTGAATCTGATCAGTTTCAGGGACTTTCTGAAACTATTTTGACTTGTTTACCTTCTGTCCTAAGGAGCTTCCCTGGGAGATGGAATGTTTCAATCTTAGAGGAAACTGCTACAGAGCAGGTATCCAGCCATCTTACACCCCACCATCAGAGTCAGAAGAACCCAACACACGCATGCAGGGAGGTAAATACATGATGCTCCTTAGAGCATTGAAATAATAGAAAACAATCTACAGAAGCAGGTGGAATTGGCGAAGCAAACAATGCATCTACAAAATGAACTGCTTTGGAACCATCAAAAATATTCATTAATTGGAAGATATTCACTGCTGGGGGCACAGCATGAAGGTCTTTTACACCCCCAGATCTCCAGAGAAACCAGCAATGTTAAACACAGGATGACCTTCTCAAAGGAATGGATGTAACAACCTGTTCTTCATGCAGAAAGCTGGGAACTGGGGGTGATTAACAGCCTAGAGATCTCTGTTATCTGTTGGGCGAGGCCATATCTAGCTCCTGTACCAGGACTGGGGGTGGCTAGTAATCTAAATGACCCTCTCAGCCAGGGGCTCCCCAAGCTCCCACAACCAGGGCCAGGGGTGGCTAATAGCCCAATTGACCTCTATGTTATCTGTGTGACTGATACCAGGCCAGACCCTCCCTTAGGCCCTTGAGCTAGTTCAGGTAACCTATCTTCAGAACCCATTTTCTTGGAAGAAATGACATGGACCCTGAGTTGAGTTTCGATGTAATTATACTCTCTTGTGCACCAGGGACTGTGTTACACCAGAAAGGCTTTTTTTCCCCAAGTTATACTGTTTAAATATGCTGACAATAAAACCCCTGGCATCAGACTCCCTGAGGTGTGATCCAGACTGACAAAGTCCATCTGAGTCAAGATTTCATTTTCACCTCTTTGGGGTTTGCTTCCCTGTCTGCTGTGACCACCTGCAGGGTCCCCCTCCACTCACAGAGTCAACTGGACACGAAATAGCCTCATTTGGGGCAGTATAGCCTGTTGGACCCTTTGGCGAGCTACAGCACAGCATAGAGCATGTATAAGAAACTATTTTGAAGTATGCTTATCAAGTATTAGTAGTGGTTATCTCTTTGACATCTGCCCTCATATTATTAACTTTTCTTTTTGCTTACCTGTCTTTCCTTAGGAAAAAAAAAATAACATGTAACCATTACTTTGTTTGGTAATTTAAAGACAAGTAAATCCAGCACCCTCTTCTGGCCCCAGTGAGCACCAGACCCAGTGTGCATGGTATATTTACATACAGACAGACAAGACACATAAAATAATGAAATAAATCAAAAGCAATTAAACCAATTGGTATATTTCGTCTAGTGGCAAAGGGAAGTCATTTGGGGGCTAGGGAGATGACTCGCTGAGTAAGATGCTTGAGGACCTGAGTCTAGACCCCCTCCCCCTGTCCGTACCCATGGGAAAAGCAAAGCACAGTGATGTGCCGACACCCATTTCTGGGGAGATGGACACAGGAGAGGCCTGAGGGCCAATCAGTTTAGATGAAACAGTGGGCCCCAGGGAGAGACCCAGCACATGCATGTACACACACATGCTCAACCATGCAAAAGGAAATCATTTGGAAATTTAAAAATTAGCGAACCAGAAAAAAAGCCTGGTCCTCTGCAAGCTGAAGAACAGGGGAAGGAGCAAGAGAAATGGAGCAGGAAGGTGGAAGCCAGAAGGTCCAAGGCCCCATGACATGGAGTGGGGGAAGCAGAGGCCTGAGCAGCCTTTCTCCCTCCAGTCTCTCAAAAACGGCGTCCATTGCTGAGAAAGAGAGCCAGACGTGGCCACAACCTCCTTCTGTTTCTAAACAAAAGGAGAAACTTAAAACCCTGAGCAGCTTGGCCCCTGGATGGCCTTGGAGCTGCTCAAGGTCCATAGCTCATCATTAGCCAGAGGCAGGACACATAATATGATGCCCATTGATTTCCCCTCCCTCCAATTCATTTGGAAGAATGGTGTTGCTAAATCTGAAATGAGGCGAGCTTGCCCAGATGGTAGTCATTCATTAGCTAGGCAGGACCCAGTGCCACAATATATACTTAAAGCAGGAACAGGGGGGAGACAGGACCTGTAATTAGACCGTCTCTGGGGTGAGGCTGGGCAACGGAAACAGGCATTATTCATGGGGTGACACCAAGTAATGTCCCCAGCTCTTAGTAACAGTGTCTCCTCCATCAGAAGGTCTGGACCATGGGCATCAGATAGAGACCCAACCCGATTCTCCACACAGTCCCTGTGCTCCTGCAGACCCATCCCTGGGGCTGCTCAGCACTCAAGTCTCACCCATACAAAGGGCATTTGGTGGCCATTCCTTTCGTGAGGACTTCATTAACCTTGTTTCTCCAGGGACCCCAGGTCCCACGGATGCAGGAAGAGTGTAACCATGGTCTGTACCTCAGACGACTGAAAATACGCACTCTGTCTAATATCAAGTGCTTTGTTTGACTATTGATAGCCAGTCATACCTGGAAAAGAGCCTGTTCCAGAGAGAAGAGGCTAGAATGAACTCTCCAAGGGACGGCTCACTGTCTGCACTGGCTCCCCACAGGGAGCCCCCTTGGTACCATTTCACATCTTAGAGCCCTAGCTGGTATCAGCAGGAGCCCCACAATAACCCTGATAACTCGGAGTGGCTTTTCACCGAGCCTAATGCAGAGGAACTCTCTATAATACACATGGCTCTCAATCATTAAAAAATAAATAAAATAAAAACAGGCAGTTTCTGACAAGTGAAGGGAATGCCTGGCTTCAATAGGACAGAGGCAGGACAGGTCACAATGACTGCTCTCATGTCAGACACACCCACTTGTAACCCACAGACCAGGGTACCTACGGATGTGGCCTAAAACAGTGTGATAAACCTGCTTAAAACATTATGGCGCCACTTCTTCCTCTTTCTCTCGGACCAGGCGGCCTCAGCGGTGAGCAACGCAGCCATGGCCAAGATTAAGGCTCGGGACCTGCGCGGCAAGAAGAAGGAGGAGCTGCTAAAACAACTGGATGATTTGAAAGTGGAGCTATCCCAGCTTCACGTCGCCAAGGTGACAGGCGGCGCCGCGTCCAAGCTCTCCAAGATACGAGTTGTCCGTAAATCCATCGCCCGTGTTCTCACTGTCATTAACCAGACTCAAAAGGAAAACCTCAGGAAATTCTACAAGGGCAAGAAGTACAAGCCTCTGGACCTACGACCCAAGAAAACTAGAGCCATGCGCCGGCGGCTCACCAAGCACGAGGAGAAGCTGAAGACAAAGAAGCAGCAGCGGAAGGAGAGGCTGTACCCGCTACGCAAGTATGCGGTCAAGGCCTAATGGAAGGGCAATAAAGTGCAAGACTGGCAAAAAAAAAAAAAACAAAAACAAAAACAAAAACAAACAAAAAAAAAACCATTATGGCTTTTTCTCATTTTAATTATTTGGATAGCAATGTACTATGTATTTCCCCCACTCCCCTTCTACCCGCCCCTCCCCCTTCACACTCTCAATTTACTCAGAAGATCTTGTCTTTTAAAACATTATGCTTTTGCAGTTTTTTGTAACCCAATTGCCCACAGCTCTCATGCATGAACTCTGTTCATGACAATATCTGAAGCACGATTAATAAAAACTCAGAGACAGATGTCGGGTTTCAACCTGAAGACCAGAAAAGTAAAGCAACCAGCCACTGGCTCTTACCTCGATCTCAGTTCGAAAATGGTGATCCCGACTCCCAGAAACCTCCCAGAAAAATGAGAAAGAGACTGACAGCTGTCTCTTTCTGCCTTATAATCCTCGCTAGTTCTGGGCTTAAGGGCGTGTGCCACTAATGCCTGATTTCTATGGCAAGATAGTGTGGCTACTGGGATTAAAGGTGTGTGCCACTGTGGCTACTGGGATTAACCGTGTGTGTCATTGCTGCCTCGTCTGTAAGGTTGGCCAGTGTGGCTGTGTTACTTCAGGCAAACTTTATTTATTAAAATATAAATGAAATGCCACTACCCATATCCTATTACAATGTCGAAAGGTTGAGTGTGCATGTGTGTGTGCATGTATGTGTGCGCATGTGTACATGCATGTGAGTTTGTGTGTGTGCATGTACACACACGTGTACACAAGCTCAAATGCTGTCTAATGAGTGCAGTGGTAACGAGAGAGGCAGGCATAGAGAATAGCTTAGCAACCCACGCCTCTCCTTGATTTGGACCATGCACACCCTGCTCTTCTAATAATGCACTTGGCAACCAAAGACCCTTGTCCATGCACTCTGCGTACACACTCCTCTCTAAACCACACACCTAGCAGTCTACACCTAAATAAATCTACATACTCCTTGAACAATGGGGTGAGCTTCTTCTCCCTTTAATGTCCATCAAACTCAGACGGTTATAACTCAAGCTTATTGTTAGGATTCAGGCATCTGTGCTGGCCTGACCTTGGGGTCCTGACAGGAGAAGACCTCAGCTACAGCCAGTAAGAGTGCCTGCTGTGTCATTCACTACGCTCCCTCTTAAAGGGCCCTGCCCACCTCCCGTCTCTGTCTCTCTGTCTCTCCCTCCCTCCCTCCCCCTCTCTGCCTCTCTCTTCTCTTCTGCCATTCCTGTCCACAGAGGCCGATCTCCTCCCTCTCCTTCCCTATTTTTATGTTCTCCTTCCCTTAATAAACCCCTCCATGTGAGTTTTGTTGCACGACATCTTTCTCTCGCGTGCCATTTTTTCTAAATTACAACGCTTATTCCCAGTACATCCAGGTTTGGAAAGTATGAGACAATTCAGCCTAAACTGGCTTCAGTGCATGCACAATGAGGCAAAACCATATCTCCAAATCAATTTGTAGAGAGATTCCCCTGTATGCCATCTATGCCTTTGCATTATTGCATTTACGTCTAACTAAAATCAGATACATTGTGGGAAGGAACCTGCACAGTGGAAAAATAGCATACAACCTATTTTGTCAGTCAACATAAAGAACCACCCAAACTATGCGCCTAGTTACTAAATTCTTCCATCTCTTGAACCCCTTAAAAGGTCCCAAGCAATACGCAGGGCCTCTTGATATTCACCACATGGCCTGCTCCTCTCCTGCAGTGTCCTCTGGTCTCCTCTGTGGCTTCAACTGAACAAAGTTCCTTGTTATTGTGTGGGCTCTTATTTCACTCTTGAAAAAGAAGGCACGAACCCAGAAATATTTGTCCTAGGCCCCACCAGCAGCAGCAGTCCTGTCCATCATTAGGAAAGATATTCCTCGGGCTGGAGAGATGGCTCAGTGGTTAAGAGAACCGACTGTTCTCCTAGAGGACCTGAGTTCAGTTCCCAGCACCCACATGGCACCTCACAACTGTCTGTAGCTCCAAGATCTGACACCCTCACAGGACATATATGTACACCAAATGTACATAAAAGTAAAAATAAATAAGTTTTAAAAAAAAAGGAAAGGTATTCCTCTACTTTGTCATAGGCACATAGAGGCATAGGACAAGTCCCACAGAAAGCACACCTATCTGCATTTTAATTTCTGAAGGTCGACTGAAGCAGGTATTAGGCAAACATGATGGTGGAGGTTTTCTCTGAGGCTGAATCCACACAACCGACCGCGAGTTGCTTTGGGGAAGAGATGAGAGTGGAGCCCGAGGCAAGCTGCTGGATGGCTCCGGGCACACAAGGCTTCCTCTTAAGCTTCCGCTCCCGGGTTGTTTCGTCTCTCAGTCGCTTGTGTGCCTTCTGCATCTTCACCACTACTGAGGAACTCGGGACGTGTGACAGCTTCCCGTAGAGTAGAGTGTTACCATCGTGACATTCCACCACAAACCTGTCCTCTGTATCGATCCTCCCTGAGGTGGCCATTCCTCAGAGAAATCTGGATGCTGGCCTTATGCCTCTGTCAGCCTCGTTCTTGGCCCGCACAGCTATCCCAGAGAATTTGACTTGCTTCCTAACACAAGAGAATAAACAGGATGTTCTAAGGGGAGGGGACACATTCCATGCAGAAGTGACACTCTTTAAGCTTAGGAAGCAAATGACTCAGAGAAGCTTCTAGAAGTCCCTGAAAATGACCAGATGCACTAGGCCCCTCCTTTACCCTGTGTACCTAAGCAGTAAGGACCCACCAACATGCCTGGAAGAAGCAGAGACCGGGTGATCTGCCCAGACAGAACACTCCCAGTGTGTTTAGCTGTCTGCAGGTTGCACCATGTGTTCTGAATCTCCAACTTCATTGAGCCCCCACCCATGCTGTGGTAGGCTTTTAAAGGTGATGCAGCTCAGCTGTCTCTAAACCATTTCTGTTCCCATCAGTTACCTCAGTAAAACTCAAACCAAGTTGGATTTCCATGGCATGTATACTTTGGTCTGTCATCAGCTCCCTATCTGGTGCGAGGAGATATTTGTTCCCATCTCCCCATAAATAGTGTCACCCAACAGCCAGGTTTCTGCCATCCATCCATCCATCCATCCACCGCCACCACTTCCACCCACCACACCCACACCCTCTGCCTTGGGCTTCAGTTTCCACATTATTTGGGGGCGAATTCTCTGAGACCCTGCCACTGTAACTAAATCGGAGCTCCCTTTTGTATTTTCAGCATGAAAGTAGCAGGTCTCCATTGTCAGAGCGGCTTGCTTTTGGTTGGCCTCCTAACCCCTTCTCCCCGTCCCCAGACCATGTTTCAGAAATGTGGGTATGTTGTTGTGCTTTTGTTACTGCTTGTTAAACATCTTCTGAGCAAACTTGCAAGTATCTAGAGAAAAGCTCCTGCTAATACCAGCGTCTGGTCCTGCTTTTCCCCTGCCTAGCTCATCCGACCCTTGCTACCGCCCGGACGCATCCATCTTCTGTTTAAAGGGCTTCGTCTTTCACTAATTTTTCAGAACTTTCAAAGGAGAAAATGCACTTAGACTGGCAATACTTTTTACTTATTCATTGGCCATTTCCAGAACACAATGATGTATGAGCCTTAGGCTGGAGACAAAAAGTCGGGGGTCGCTGGCCTCATTCTTGGGGATCTTCCGTCTCTCCTGAGAGCTCCGCTTGCCTCGTCAGTGACATCTCTCAGCAGACACTGCAAGACTTTGCTAATGCACAGCTCTTTAAACTGCAGCTGTGTTTGTCTGTGGCCTGCACTTCCTCAGTTTCCCCAGTCTCTCAAAGGCCACTGGTGACACCACTGTTACCTACAGGACTTTTGTCTTCAGGTGGAGGGGACTGAGCAGAGGGCACGTGACCCAACACTGCACTTGAAGAAGATATACCCTCAATTTCCTCCCCTCCTGCCCGTCTCTCCCACCCCTTACCACTCCCAACACCATCTGAATGCCAATCTTGGACTCATGTTTGGGGCATAGACAAGAGGTGTCTCCCAACGAACCAACTCAAAGTCTAGTATGCAGCTGAAACCATAAGCAAAAGTCTTACTAATACTAGGTCCCGCACTAGAGCACGCATTTGCCTGGCAAGTCTAAGAAAATCCTTCAGAGACGCGGGAAGCTTATCACAGTTCCCGAAAGGAATGCACTCATTTTTCTCCTCCCCAATTTTACATTATAACAGAAGCTTCCTCATTTTCCAAAGTAGTGATATTATGAGAGAAACAGACTGGAAATCCCCAAAGACAACTTTCTTCCAAGAAACCATTTAAAATTATGTAACTGATTTACAGTGGCTGCTAGATCCTGTCTATTAATAGTGCAAATTTAAATTCTAATTCTCCAAGCGAACATTCCAGAAAAGGGCTCCTTATTTTGGTTCATTGCAAACCCAGCTGGTATCTGGCAAAGGGATGATGTCTTTGGGCTCCTCTGAGGTGCCAGGGCAGCAAAGTGGTGACACTGGCTGATGCCTGGTTCCACAGGGTACAGCCTGATCTTCCACCGTATGAATTCCACCCACCACTCGGGGAGAGTCTGCCTTCCCACAGCAAGCCGGCCCAGCTGCTGTGAACGCATTTGGCTTGGGCTAGCCATGTCTTTGCACGGACCTCACTTAGCATCAGCTCGTCCACAGCAGCGCCACGTTCTACCCGCCACGAGCTTCATTTCCTCCTCTTCCTTCCCACATGGGCATCATCGCCCACTGATCCCTGAACTTCTTTTTACATTACTCTTCTTTAGAAAGCTCACACATTCTCCTGGCTTCAGCTGTAAGACTAGTTAATCACACAGGAATCTCTATTTTCATCCTCTCCCAAATCCTCTGGTATGTGCGTGCACCTGGGGTGACGTTATTTCCATACAGTGCTAATGGTCATGATGAATTTGACGGCAAAGGCGGGGAGGACAACAGTGACATTATGGTAATGAACACCGCGATGGCGGTAACTGTGGTTGTCTTAATTAGGGTTACTATTGCTGTGGGAAAACGCCATCGC